CAACCAGAAACATCTAGAAGTTGAAACATTCTAAGGAAATACTAGTCTACTCTCTACAAATCAATGTAACAGGAAAAATGAAAAGCTAGGGAGAAAGTCTGTTCTAGATCAAAATGTATTTCACGATGTTGATAATGGAGGAGACTATGCATATCTTGGGGGAGGCAGCACACGGGGAATCTTTGTATTTTTTTTTTTTTCAATTTTGCTATGAACCTAAAACTGCTCTTAAAATATAAAGCCTTTTTTTTTTTTATTCTTTTGAGACAGAGTTTCACTCTGTTGCCCAGGCTGGAGTGCAGTGGTACAGTGATGCAATCTTGGCTCACTGCAACCTCCACTCAAGAATTGCTCAAGTTCAAGCAATTCTCCTGCCGAAGCCTCCCAAGTAGCTGGGATTACAGGCACCTGCCACCACGCCCAGCTAATTAAAAAATAAAGACTTTTAAGGAAAAAAAAAAGCCATTTCAGAGACCCAACAACTAAATGCAATCATACTTCTTGCTTGGATCACACTATAAACAAACTTGGTGCAAAAGATATTTGGGCAACAAAACTTGAGTGTGTTAATATTATTATGGTTGTACAGGAAAGTATTATCGTTAGATATGTGTATCAAAATATTTAGGAGTAAAATTTTATGCATTTACTTAAAAAGATTTCAATGAAAAATGTGTGAAACATGACAAAATGCTAAAAAAATTCTACGTGATAGGTATATGGTGTTTATTATATTATTCTCTCTACTTTTTCTGTACATTTATAGTTCTTTTTTATAAGCATGAAAACATTTTTTTTTAAATAGAGTTGGGGTTTCGTTGTTGCCCAGGCTGGTCTCAACTTCTGAGCTTAAGGGATCCTCCTGCCTCAGTCTCTAAAGTACTAGGATTGCAACCATAAGCCACCACACCTAGCCAAATTAAAAAGTTGTTTTTTGTTTTTTGTTTGTTTGTTTGTTTTCAAGATGGAGTTTCACTCTTGTTGCTCAGGCTAGAGTGCAATGGTGAGATCTCGGCTCACTGCAACCTCCACCTCCTGGGTTCAAGCAATTCTCCAGCCTCGGTTTCTATAGTAGCTGAGATTACAGTCACCCGCCACCACACCCAGCTAATTTTTTTGTATTTTTAGTAGAGACAGGGTTTCACCATGTTGGCCAGGCTGGTGTCGAACTCCTGACCTCAGGTGATAAACCCACCTGGGCCTCCCAAAGTGCTGGGATTACAGGTGTGAGCCATCGTGCCTGGCTAAAAGTTGTTTTTCTGGTCGGTTTTTTTTTTTTTTTGAGACAGAGTCTCCCTCTGTCACCCAGGCTGGAGTGTAGTGGCTCACTGCATCCTCCACATCCCAGGTTCAAGTGATTTTTGTGCCTCAGCCTCCCAAGGGGCTGGGATTACAGACGTGCACCACGACGATCAGCTAATTTTTATATTTTTAGTAGAGACGAGTTTTCACCCTGTTGGCCAGGATGGTCTGGAGCTCCTGGCCTCAAGTGATCCACGTGCCTCAGCCTCTCAAAATTCTGGGATTACAGGCCAGAGCCACCACACCCAGCCATAAAAAAAACCAAAAAACAAACAAACAAAAAACAAACAAAAAACCCCAGATATTTGGCCGGGCACAGTGTCTCATGCTTGTAATCCTAGCACTTTGGGAGGCCAAGGAGGGTGGATCACCTGAGGTCAGCAGTTTGAGACCAGCCTCGCCAACATGGCAAAACTCTGTCTCTACTAAAAATACAAAAAAGTAGCCCAGCATGGCAGTAGGCACCTGTAATCCCAGCTAGTTGGGAGGCTAAGGCAGGAGAATCACTTGAACTCAGGGACGGAGGTTGCAGTAACGCCATTGCACTCCAGCCTGGGCAACAAGAGCGAAACTCTGTCTCAAAATAAATAATAATATCCAGCATTTGTGAGTGTTTGAGAAAACAGACCATCACATACATATTGGAGTATATACTGGTATAAACTTCTAAGAGGACAATTTCGAATATATACATTTTATTTTACAATATACATATTGGCAGGGCAAGGTAGCTCGCGCCTGTAATCCCAGTACTTTAGGAGACCTAGGCAGACGCATCACTTGAGGTCAGGAGTTTGAGACCAACCTGGCCAACGTGGTGAAACTCCATCTCTACTAAAAATACAAAAATTAGCCAGGCATGGTAGTGTGCACCTGTAATCCCAGCCACTAGGGAGGCTGAGGCAGGAGAATGACTTGAACCCGGGAGGTGGACATTGCAGTGAGCCAAGATCACACCACTGCACTCCAGCTTGGGCAACAGAGGGAGAGTCTGTCTCAAAAATAAAATAAAGGCCAGCCATGGTGGCCCACGCCTGTAATCTCAGCACTTTGGGAGGCTGAGGCAGGCGGATCACCTGAGGTCAGGAGTTCAAGACTAGCCCCGCCAACATGGCGAAATGCTGTCTCTACTAAAAACACAAAAATTAGCTGGGTGTAGTGGCGGGCACCGGTAACCCCAGCTACTTGGGAGGCTGAGGCAGGAGAATGGCGTGAACCTGGGAGGCATAGCTTGCAGTGAGTCAAAATTGTGCCACTGCACTCCAGCCTGGGCCATAGAGCGAGACTCCAACAAAAAAAAAAAAAAAAAAAGAAAAAAAAAGAAAAAGAAACAAAAAGAAAAATACAGTGTTATTTCTTGCATGTCTGAATTTTTGAGCTGAGATTCATATTGTCTATATATACTCTTCTCATTTCATTCTCTTGCAACCCTATTATTTTCACGTTACATATAAGGAAAAAAGGTTTTTTGTCTTTTGTTTGTTTGTTTGAGACAGAGTCTCCCGGGTTCAAGCGATTCTCCTGCCTCAGCCTCCCGAGTAGCTGGGATTACAGGCACGCACCACCAGGTCCGGCTAATTTTTATATTTTTAGTAGAGACGGGATTTCACCACGTTGGCCAGGGCTGCTGGTCTCAAACTGTCGACCTCAGGTGATGCACCCGCCACGGCCTCCCAAAGTGCTGGGATTACAGGCGTGAGCCACTGTACCCGGGCGAAAAAAAAAAAAAGATGTTTTTAAGTTGTTCTGAAGTGTTCTGAAGTTGTTCTGATTGTTCTGAAGTGACAAAACTAGAAAGTGCAAAACTAGAACTCAAATTTGGGTCTACCTTGCACTGAAGCCCATGCCAGCTACTACTCTATGCCATCTGGAATAGGTTTTGACTCCTCTCCACCACCTGCACTCAATCCCTCCTCTCAAATCTTGCCGATTTAGACCGAATCCCCTCTTCTAAAAAGGCACTATTGAGGGCCCCCACCACCATGTTTAAATGGCCCTCTTTAGGCCTCCCTTAATACTTTGACACCATCTGTATCACAGACTATACTGTATTTTAATGATCTATGTATAGGTTCTCCATTACATAGTAAACTCTTAAGGGCAGGAATTAAGTATCTGGAGATACTATTGAAGTGCTTGACACATAGTAGGTGGTTTCCTTCTACAACAGAAGAATATCACTTACATTTCTATATGACTATTTCCTCCCTAACCTGTGAATGAACTTTATAGGATCAAAGAATATATCTGGTTTTATGCACCATGAAATCATTGCAGCCTAACACACAGCTTGACATAGATCAGGATTTTTGTTTTTTTGAAACAGACTGTTGCTCTGTCGCCTAGGCTGCAGTGCAAATGGCATAATCTCGGCTCACTGCAACCTCCGCCTCTCAGGTTCAAGCAATTCTCCTGCCTCAGCCTCCTGAGTAGCTGGGATCACAGGCGCGCCATGCACCCAGCTAATTTTTCTATTTTTAGTAGAGATGGGGTCTCGCCATGGTGGCCAGGATGGTCTCGAGACTCCTGACCTCAAGTGATCCACCTGCCCCAGCCTCCCAAAGTGCTGGGATTACAGGCGTGAGCCACCGCGCCAGCCCACATCAGGTTTCTGTTGTTGCTTTTTAAGCAAAGATGGTTTTTTACCATGTTGGCCAGGCTGGTCTTGATAGAACTCATGGCCTCAAGTGATCCACCAGCCTTGGCCTCCTAAAGTGCTGGGATTACAGGCAAGAGCCACTGCACCTTGCTCAGGTTTTCAAAACTATTTTTTTGTAGTCTTTTTTTTTCTTGAGACAGGGTCTCCTTCTATCACTCTGGCTAGAGCGCAGTGGTGCTGTCCTGGTTCACTACAGCCTCCACCTCCCAGACTCAAGAGATCCTCCCATCCCAGCCTCCTGAGTAGCTGGGACTACAGGCACCGGCCACCACGCCCAGCTAATTTTTTTTTTAACTTTTTGTAGAGACAGAGTCTCACTATGTTGACCAGGCTGTTCTCGAACTCCTGGCCTCAAGCAATTCTCCCACCTTGGCCTCCCAAAGTGCTGGAATTACAGGTGTGAGGCACTGTGTCCTATCTCAATAAATATTTTTGAATGAATTAATCAGCAAGTAATCTTCTCTATTTACTGTGACTCTGAGTTATGTTCAAGGGCAAGCAGTTCTTGACTTCCTTTTCTTTGTAATGATTTAGTGCTTGAAATTACTTCTACCCATCAGGATTTTAAAATTGGTCATTATTTTCCCATTTTCATCCCCACACTCACATAGAACATGATCTCCGCTATTTAAAAGTGTAAGATTTTTGTTTCAGCCTGGGATTTATCCTACTGCAAACTGCTAGCTATAATTTTCAACCTTTCCCAGTTAAATGCCAGAATGTCACTAATCAAAGGTGGTACTTAGGGGTGAAGTGAACAGTTAAGCCTCCAATTTACAAGCTTGTTTTTCCCTGGGATACTTGTGTTAAAGTCGCACGTTCCTGGATGTGACACTTTCGAGACAAAAATTTCAACTGGTGAGTTCATTACATATTACTATAATTAAATCAAAGATGTAGGATAATGGAAGCGTTGCAATAGTATTTGCTAGGCAAGGGTGTGATCTTTTTTAAAAATGTATAATATATGCTGCCATTCGAGAAGCAAGGAAAACATTTCCAAATTTCCTTCCAAGAAGTCTACCGGGATTGACAGTACCGCGGACAAAGGAGGGTACCAAATGCTCCTTCGAACCAGCGGTACACCGAAAGCCCTGAGCCTGTGGGCGGGGCCCCGGAGCCTCCCAGGACCCAAAGACAGAGGGGGCGTGGCTGAGGGTGTCCAGACCTCCAGGGGCGGGGCCGCGGCCGGCGAGAGGCAGGCTGGGAAGCGGCGCCATATTGGCGTCGGCCGCGCTGTATTGTCATAAATAGAGCCGGTTTTGTGGTGTTTTCACTACTCGGTTGGATGCCTCAGCCATAGTAAGTGGGAAAGTGAGGGAGCAAGCGAGCTACAAGCGACCGGAGGAAAGTGAACAGGGGGAGAAGGGAACAGCAAGAACAGGACTCCAGAGCGATAAACACTCGCTGGAGAGGGAGACGCAGGAAGCGATGAAAGAGATGTCTGCGTAAGTGGTGGGGGGCGGCGGTTGGGGTGAGGCGGGTTGGGGTGAGCTGGGGTGGTCCGTCTGTGTCCTCGTTTCCGTTCCCTGTCCCTTGCGCCCTGCACGCAGCTCGCCGGGGGTGGTCTCCTTCCCGGCTCCCGGCCGGTCCGCAAGGGCACCTCCCCTAAACCCGGCGGCTTACCTGGCCACCCCTGCACGGACTTGGGGACTCTGGGAGTCCCTAGCTGTCCCGCCTCCGAGGACGCCCTCAGAAAAGGATGAGGAGGGAAAGAGGTGCCTGTGTCCGTAGGGAGAAATTGTCGGTCACTCGCCTGCCCCCAGCACTGTCTGAGCCCGTCTGCTCCTGTCTGCATTGGCGCAAATACCATCCCCCTGCCTCCCCCTCCTCCCTTCCCGACCGGCTGTCTCCAGGTCTTCAGGAGTGAAAGACCTATTGCAGCCCAGGGGTTTCTCTTTCATATGAGGCTAAAGTCTTTTCATCCCTGTCCCCACCCTCTCCCTCACCCCCTGCCTCCCCACCTACCCACAACATCTACCGGTCTGTACCTCTTGTTCACACTTTGATAAGTCAGAAACAGTTCCCAGACTTGGCAAGATTTTGTTGTAGCTTCTTCCATTTTGGCCTATTAGGAAACAATTTAAACATGCAGAAAAATGCAGAGAATAACATAAGCATCATTTGTGGAGCCACCACCCATTTCTCCCAAAACATAACTGTACACACACACACACACACACACACACACACGGTGTGTATATACATATCTATGTATTTATTTTAAAGAAATCAAGCATTCCAGATACATCTGAAGGACTCTCCTACCTCCTTCTCTGGTCCCAATCATCTCTTGCTCCAGATGTCTCCACAGTCTTGAATTTGATGTTTATTGTTGCTGCGTGTTTTTTATTTTACATTTTTTTTTTCGCCCTCGAATCATGAGAGCTGCATGTTTTTTAATGCTATTACTGCATACACATGTGTTCATAATAACTGGTGTAGTTCTAGTTGTTTTTAAACTATATAGCTGGTATCACACTTGGAATTCTGTAACTTCTTTAGCACAACATAGTGTCTCTGAGCTTCGTTCACGTTAGTATTTTAGTTGTAATTAATTAATATTGTATTGTATTCTATTGTAGGAATGCATCCTAATTTAATTCTTTTCCTGTTAGTGACTATTTTAGGTTATTTCTAAGTTTTTAGTGTTACAGTGTGACAGCAAACATTCTTTTACAGTCTCTGTGCGTTTGTAACCAAAATTTCTCTAGGGTGTTTGCCTACAAGTGAAATTGATGGTTTAAAGGAAATGTGGGATTCTGTTGTTTACTTTTCCCTCCCCTCTAGATGGGGGAAGTTCAGAACTCTAGATTTGGAATTTTAGGGCCAGTAGGCTAGTTGGCTGTTTGTCAGCATACAGGTAAGAAAGTGAGGCCCGTCATCATAGTGTCAGAGCTGAAGTAGTTATGGAGGAGAGAATGGAGTAGTGGAAAGAGGTTTTGGAGGTCAGATTCTGGCTTGTCCTCTCTTAACTTTCAGATACTTATCTGTAAAATGGCACTTATTCAGTACCTCTTAGGATTATTGTGATTGAGTGATATTATATACATATGTAGATAATTACTCTGTCCTATTCATTTACCATGTATATTTACATATATATAACACAAACAATACCAAAACACTGCTCTAGCTTTCTCAGAGGTAAAAAGCCAAATCTTTAAAAATAAATTACAACTTGAAATAACTAATTGGAGTTTTGTTTGTTCTACAACAAAATAAATACAGAAGAGAAATTAGGCTGTATTTTGTTTTTTGGGGTTTTTTTTTTTTTTTTGAGTCATTTTGGAAGGTATACACGCTGTTTTATCTTCCATTGGTTCTTTCTCCCTCTCTACATAATGAGATCTTTTTTTTTTTTCTTTTTTTTGAGACGGAGTTTTGCTCTTGTTGCCCAGGCTGGAGTGCAGTGGTGCGATCTCAGTTCACTGCAACCTCCACCTCCTAGGTTCAAGCGAATCTCCTGCCTCAGCCTCCCGAGTAGCCGGGATTACAGACGTCCGACACCACGCCCGGCTAATTTTTTGTATTTTCAGTAGAGACGGGGTTTCACCATGTTGTCCAGGTTGGTCTTGAGCTTCTGACCTCAGGTAATCCACCCACCTCAGCCTCCCAGAGTACTGGGATTACAGGCATGAGCCACCACGCCTGGCCTCTAATGAGATCTTTATCTAAAGAGTGTGTCTTACTCTGTGCACTTAGTAGGGGTAAGACAGTGTTTTGATGAGTTAAAATCCAAAAACAATTAAACGATCTCTATAGTGTGTTATTTTTTACAGGGCTAATTTATTTAACTTGAAAGATTGATTATAATTTTGAGATTACATTCTTACTCTTGGTGTTAATGGCCCTTCATGGAAGCATGTTGAAGACAAATGGTAGCGTTGGTTGTTTAGTGTGTATGTTTTCACTTTCATAGCAAAATTAAAAGTTTTGCCCACCCCTGTTGGTCCCAGAATTTATTTTGAAGTTAATTAGTTTGTGTAAACTCAAAGTCTCAGAACTTCAATTGGCCAAGCGCAGTGGCTCACGCCTGTGATCCCAGCACTGTGGGAGGCTGAGACTGGTGGATCACCTGAGGTCAGGAGTTCGAGACCAGCCTGGCCAACATGGCGAAACTCCATCTCTACTAAAAATACAAAAATTAGCTGGATGTGGTGGCACATTCCTATAATCCCAGCTATTTGGGAGGCTGAGGCAGGAGAATTGCTTGAACCCAAGAGGCGGAGGTTGCAGTGAGCTGAGATCTCCCTAGTGCACTTCAGCCTGGGAGACAGAGAGACTCCATCTCAAAAAAAAAAAAAAATCTCAGAACTTCTGTTGTACTTTATTCAAGACCGTAGTTTCCTGATGGCTAAGATCTTTAGAGGGTGGCTCATGTATCTTCCAAAAGATTGCCAGTAGTGTAAAGAATTTTATTTCAATGCGAAGATGGTATGGGTACCAGTCTAAAATGAAGAGAATAATTAACTAGAGTGGCAAAATACTAGGACTGTAAACTCTGATTCAAGCAGAGGATGTTAACCTAGGTTTCCCAAGGACAAATCTAATTGTGATTTCCTTTTTAAAAGCCAGATTATTTCACAAGGACCTTTTAATGGGATGTTTTCATTTCTTTCCTGGGGAAAAAAACCCATTGTTTTTACTAAAAGCTTTCTTTCAAGTGGTTGACTGCTTTTCAAAGATTCTAGAATCTGGATGGTACTTGACTTAAGTCTGCAGGGTAGTGGAGGTGGCCCTGGCGCAGATCCCAATCAAACTCTGGGTTTGAGCTGAGTGGTGTTGGTACAATTGTCTTGATGCCAACACATGCTGCGTTTGGCTTGAAAAGACATCCTAACCATGAAGGCTGCAGGCAGTATGAATAGCCCCTTCATAAACATAAACATAAAATACCCATTTTTCCTTTAAAAGAAAGTATCTGCCCCCACTGTTAGTACTAAGTAAATTTTTAAGGTAACTGAATTAACATGAGTAGATTGAGAGATTCAATGTATCAGTATGATATATACTGTAAATTTTTTCTGTTTCATTTTTCTTATTTTGTTGAACAGAAACACCGTGCTGGACAGCCAGTGTCAACAAAAGCATTATGGAATTACCTCTCCGATTAGTTTGGCGTGTCCTAAAGAAATTGATCATATTTACACACAGAAATTAATTGACGCCATGAAACCATTTGGAGTGTTTGAAGATGAGGAAGAATTGAACCACAGGTGTGTCATTGAAAACCATAAAATATTTGACAGTGTATTGTTTAATCATTAATTCTACGAACATATTGAATACCTACTATGTCTCTACATACAGGTGCAGAAATGACAAAAAGAAAAGTCTTGGCCCTCTTGGAGCTTACATTTTAGGTAGGGGTTAGAGGAAGAGATTTGTCATCAATAATATCAGTATTACACTCGTGAGTAATATTACACATGATAAGTGCTACTGAGAAAAAGCTGAGGGGGTAGAGGTTTCAGGGAAAGCCTCATTGAAAAAGTCACATTTAAGGGAATATTTAAAGATGAAAGAGGGAGCCATGTGTCTATCTGAGGGAAAAGTGTTCTAGGCAGAACTCTTGAAGTGGTGTATTTGAAGAGTACATAGCAAGATACCCTGGGTATCAGCAGTGAGGAAGCAGGAAGATATAGGCTTGCAGAAAGCAAGGTGGGAAGGAGCTTGGAGGGCAAGAGCTCTTAGGACCTTGTAAGGTGTTGTCAAGGTTTGGTTTATTCTGAGTGAAGTGAGAAGCTATTAGAGTTTTGAGAAGAAGATTGACATGACTGGACTTTAAAAAGTTTTAACAGTCACTCTGGCTGCTGTATTAAGAGTACTCTTAAGAGAAGTGCAAGGGCAGAGCAGAGCAACCAGTTATCTAGCAATTATAATAGCCCCAGGAGGAAATAATGGTGGCTAGAACCTGGAGGATGGTCATAGAGGTAATAAAAAGTAGAAATCTGGATATATTTTAAAGGTAGGGTTCTTAGAGTTTAATGACTGGAATGTGTGTGAGAGAGAGGTCAAGGATGATGGCCAAGATTTTTGGTCTCGGCACCTTGAAGGAGTAAGTTTGGACAGAAGTTCAGTTTTGCATGTTATCTTTGGGATGTCTTTTTTTTTTTTTTTTTTTTTTTTTTTTTGTAGACAGAGTCTTGCTATGTCACCCAGGCTGAAGTGCAGTGGCATGATCTTGGCTCACTGCAAGCTCCACCTCCCGGATTCA